ACCTTAGACGAGTTAGATATGATTCTTATGCCTTCAGCTCAGGACTGGTAAAGGCGATACTATCTCACCCGTAAAAATTTATATTCTCTGAGAATTAATGAGCTAACTTATAAATAAAGCCTTGAGCCCCCTCAAAGACATATACTATAAAAGGCACTGTCCCTCAGGCCACAGCTATGTAACAAGAGTTGTATCCTATTGTGTTTTAAGTTGTTTTCTTTTCCTTTTAGTTTTTAAAAGAAAACACAGAGCTAACACATTCATTTGCAAAGCTTCTAGGTAGAATTTCCAAAATCCATATAAAATTCAAACTTCATTATACTATTAATGAACTCAGATTTCCTTGTTCTCAATGTAAATGATTCGTAAAGCAAATGTGTACATACGATATTTTTTTGAAACTCATTTGCATGCAGTCCTTCACTGAGCATGCATATTTCCAGATTTAACTGTTTTATAATGGCATTTATCAAGCATAATTCTTTTGCATTAGGATTCAGTAGAGACTCACTAGAGGCACATTCTACTTCAGGACTGACCCAGATATTTTAGGTTTTGTGGTAAATATGTCCAAAGGTACACACCAGATGAAATTCTTCCTCTGCAGCACCAGAAGTACCTTCATTCTCCTCCAGCTACCAGTTGCCAAAATTCTATTAGCTTTGTCACTACTCTAAACCTGCACTGTAACCATCATTTGTTGTCCTTTATATAATTTTGTTCACTTTATTTTTTTATTAATTTTATTGAGAAATAAATAGCAATGAGACAGTCTCAAAGCAGGTTAGGAGGACAGTTACAATAATTTATGCATTGCATATTGGTGTCTTCATAACGGTCATTCATAGTACAAGATGCAGACATGATATACTGTCCAAACAATATTAGTACAAATCTTTCTTCTCATTGAATTAAGAGAAAGTGATATGTGGTGCTGTGTGGAATTATAAATTAGTGAGAGGGAAACCCAAAGAATTTAGTTAGCAAATGCATGATCTGATGAAACAAGAGGAGGAAGTATCATTGATTAATACGCTGAATTGAGTTCTTGAACTCATAAAAAGAGTTAAGTTTGGGAGGAAGTAGATGGAAGCAGTCAAGATGGATATCAGTGTTGTTATAAATAAAGCATGACTGTGTGGCTGATTGAATTTAATTGACAATACATTATACTTACATATATATATATATATATATATGCACACACATATACACATAAATGATTTTCTCCTTTAGCGATTTAAAAATAAGCTACAGTCGGTCTTGAGCTAACCTTGTAGTCTGCGTAGCCGAAGGTGCTGACTGTCTGCTGCCCGCGCTCCTGCAGGGGGACATCCAGCAGCTCCTGATCTCCGGGGACCCGAAGGCGGCGTATGATTACTGTGAGCACTATAGCCCAGACTGTGACTCCTCGTCACCCGCGGCCGCACAGGCGCAGGAACCGCAGCCCGACGAGGTGAGCGCGGCGCGCGGCGGGGCCTTTCGCGGTGGAACTCAACCTGGGTTAGCCATACCTGTTATTTCCTGGTCTTTATGTCCAAGAGGAAGCATTTCAAAGCCACTTGGTATGCGTCCTTTTTGTTTGTTTAGCACTGGTTGGTTAACTTTATCACAAATAGAGACACCGCCCTGGTGTCCCGTGCCCTGGGGCGGCTTGGGGAGGGGGCTCTTGGGCAGCACCCCTCAGCCCTTCCCCTGCGGGTAACTAAGAGGACCTGAAGACCGAGCGTGGAGGGGGTCGTCCTCACGTGCTTGCTCGTCCGTGCCAGGAGGAATGAGGTAGAGCTGTTGTAAAGTTTCAGGTTCTGTTGAGTAATTAGAGTGATTTTTTCCCTATTTCTAATAGGGAATTTAAAAAAATACGCAGACGAATAGGAAGGGATTTATGCTTTAGTTGGACTTTAGCATGACTATATTTTAATTTTTTTTCCCTCAAGACTGAGTTTTGTATTTCAGATGGGGTAAAAGATCGAGAACAAAAAAACTCTTTAACGCAGGTCACCACCCTTTTTCTTCCCTTTCAGTAGCAGCTCTAGGTGCTGCCTGCTAGGTCCGACTCCTTCGAATGGGTGCAGCTCTTACTTGTGATACTTCATTCCTCGTGTGACTTTAGGTTTGCTTTCCCATGGTAAATGCTTGAAATACATTTTGGCACTGTGTTGTAAGGAGTGATAGGAACTCTGTTGAGGTCTTTCCATGGCTTAATGTTAGTGTGTTTCTTAAAACAGGATCAATTCTTAAGAAGCCAACAGGAAAGCACATATGAAGGACCAAAGAAAAGTTACTTCAGAGTTTTGTTTGCCTGTTTCGTAATTCTCAAGCATCTCATTCTTTTTTATTTGCTCACAGTTCACTAAATATGTTTTCTGTGAATTCTGGTGTGATAGATGAAGTATCTTTCCAGCTAAGATTTTTATATTTGACAGGTTACTTGATCATTTAATATTTATAGTATTTTAATACTTGATTTAATAATAGTTTAATGAATATTTTATGATAGTTCTATAATGTATAATATGTAAGATAAATTTATGTAGCATATAAATATTTGACATTTTAAATAAGTAGCATCTTACTATTAGAACCACTAAGCTTATTTTTTATCAACAGATATGCTTTGACGCTTGGAAGAAGAAAAGTTTGCATTTTCAATATATCACTTTTAGGGATTCTGTTCTCAAATTTTGTTATCGTGTTGGGTAAGATGAATTATTTTAAATTAGAGAAATTTTTACTCATCTTCTTAAACTCATTTACCAGTAAACTTATATTTTTCTGCTTTACTTGTTCAAAGCATATTTAACATGCTGTTGAGATGTCAAACTTGCTTTAGCCAGAAGCATTTTTTTTTTGTGGAACCAGGGATTGAACTCAGGCCCTTGCGCTTGCCCGGGAAGCGCTTATGCTACTGAGCCATCTCCCCGGCCTGCGAGAAGCATTTGATGGGAAGAATAACACACCGCTGGAATAGCAACTGTAAGAACACTCGGTGTGTGATGCAGTAGCAGAGGACTTGCTCCTGGTTTCTACAATGTATCACATAATAATTTTTATTAATTAATTTGAAAAATACAATTTCCTGTTTTCTCTAATTAGACTGATACTTCAATAACAACACAAACATTTCAAACTTGTATTAAAAAATAGCGAAATTAGTGAACAATGCTAATTTTGAGCTGTAGGCATTATTATCTCTTTATATCCCAAATAATGCATTTCATAAGTGATCTTCAGATAGTCAGTGTAAACAAAGTTATAATACAGTGTTGCTTGACAGAGGGCTAAAAACATAAAGTGCAATTGGAAACCAATTATGCGTGAGGCACTTTTATTTCGCTTTTCTCAATGCATGTCACTGCCTGTTTGTTACTCTAATTTGAATTAGCGTGTCCATCTGTTTAGTGAAAAGTGTAGCATGGTTTCACTGACTGGTGATTTTGTTCAGTTTGTACCCTACAGCACATATTCTAATCTTTCCTTTTCTTGGTACTCGCAGTTGAACTCAGCGTCGTGTGCCTGTCTTGCGGGTGCTGTCTCCTGCGCTAGACCCCTGGTCTCTAATCATTTCTTACATTCCAGATTGCTGCGTGCTTAAGCAAAGCATCGCGTTGTCATCCCAGGGTGAGAGACACGCAGTATGGGCAGATATGAATGTGGTGATAACTTACTAGGTTTTAAGTATATTTACATGGCCAAATTGTCATATAAATAGCAGTATGACTATTAAAATTATCATGGTGTTGGAAAATTCTTTGTTTTTTTTTTCATGTATTTGGTATAGGGTCTTACTGTGCAGCTTACACTCACAGTGATTCTCCTGTTTTCAACCTCCCCAGCACCAGGATTACAGGCATGCGCCACCACGCCCAGACAGGGCTGACATGGCATGTGGGACTGGGGATTGAACCCTCGTCCCTTGGCTTGCCAAAGTAGGTGCTTAGTCTGCTGAGCTATCACGCCAGCCCGTTGGAAAATTTTTGCCAGGCTAAATCATCTTTCTATTTTATAAGAAAGCAGATTTACATATAATTGCTTCTTAATATATCATACATATTATGTAAAAGGCAATATATACATAATAATATACATAATACAATATATAATATATACATAATAATAAAATACCGATATTCTTTCCAATGAAAGATTAAAAAATAAGATGAAACCAAAACAGAACTATCTTTTATAAAATAATTAAAAACAACTGACTTGGGCTTGCATGGTGATGCTTTAATACCAGCTGTTGGGACGCTAAGACAGAAGGATTGCTCGGATTTCAAGGCCAGCCTAAACTATGCAGCAAAAAACCAAACTGAGCTATGTAGCAGAAACCTTTCTCAAAACCCCAAAACAAGCATAAATAAAATTGACTTCCAAAATTATTACCTTTTATACTTTTTGGTAATTATATGTTGTTATTAATAATGCTTACATTACATTTCCAGAAATAGGCATTTTATCTTGCAAGTGGGCAAAAAGAAGCAAAACTATTTAAAATGTTATCTACATTAATTTTTCAATTTTACAAAATTCTACATAAGTTCTAATAAGAAAATCATTTTTGAGTGCTTCCACGTTAGATGCATCAAGTTTGAAGCCATCAATAGGAGGTTGAAATTATGGATCTATGTATTAATTGTGTCATATTGCGTTTTGACTGTCCTAAGAACACTTGAAGACATACCTGTGTACATGCAGCCTAACATGTAAGGGAACTTTTGGGTGAGGATATTTCACTACAGGTCAGCTCTACAAAGCAGCGTGCGGACATTTCGGACATTTCTAATTGAAAGGTCTAACTGACATTGCATGTATGTGCATTATAGTTCATAATAGAATCAAATTGTGATCACAAATTAAAAGATTTGTAGTCAGTAGGATTTTTGCTGGCAGATTAGAGAGGATTAGTTGAAATGCCAAGGAGGCCCAAATACAGTATTTTGGAAATTATATATAGTTTGCTTCTGTCATATATATGATATGTACCATATATACATGCTATATATGTGTATATATATCCATACCACATATACATACTATACATGTATGTATATATCCATATACTATATATACACACATATATTTGCTTTTATCATATATGTGCTAAGTGTATATATATATGTTCAGTAAGCTAAAATTCTATACAGCTTTAGCTTATTGAATGTACTCATTTTTATGCTATATATAACTTGTGTATTTATAGTTATTATTTTGATTAAACGGCTGATGAATATGTTTTAGACTATAGTCTTCATTAAAATTTTCATTAAGGAATTTAACTTTGGAGGAGAATTAATTGCTTTATCATTTATGCTTATGTCTGTCTCTCATCTCCCATTATAAAGAAAATTTTACACACAATTGAATTTTTTTTTTTTTTTTCTGGTACTGGGTATTAATTGATCTTGGGACCTCGTGCTTGCTAGGCATTCACTTATGCCAGTGAGCTTTCTCCCCAGACTCCAGTTGAATTATGTAATACAGGAGAATCTAGGATAAAATACTGTTTTCCATTGTGAATTCAGTGTTTAAGTAGCTTAAGATACTTAAGTGATGTATTTTCAATAGAGTCAAAAGTAATATCAAATATTGAAATACAGTATTGGTTTTGAAGATGTTTTAAATACTTTACAATTATTTTGTGTTCATGTTACACAATTCTATAGGAAGATGGAGGTTTCCAAATGCAGTTTAGCTCTTGTTTTTACTTTGGTTAGTCTTCTGAATGTAATACAGACTCACTTCATGTTTCTTGTATTCCATTTTCCTCCTTTCCCAGTCCATCTTGCGGTAGATGTAAAAGTCTTTGTGCTCTTCAGAACTACTCTTCTTGGTTTTATTTTTAAACATGTTGCTTAATAAAAGACACATATTCAAAGCATTGTAGAATTCTTTTAGTAGAAATTTGTGAAGCTGGGGAGATAGCTCAGTGGTCTAAGCACCTGCCAGGAAAGCAAAAAGCCCGAGTTTGATCCCCAGTACCCCATGCCGTGCCAGTCCAGAATTGTAGGCATACTGTGCTGGCCCCTAAGCCGGGTGTGATGATACACACCTGTAATCCCAGAGCTGGGGAGGCTGAGACAAGAGGGTCACTACAAGTCTGAGCTGTGTATGTATAGTGAGACCCTGTACCAAATACATAAATAAAGGGGCTGGGAAGATAGCTCAGTAGAATAAGCGCTTGTCTAGCAAGTGCAGGGTCCTTAGTTCAATCCCCGGTACCACAAAAAAAAAAAAAAAAAGGTAAAAAAGATATATGTGTGTATATATATATACACATATATATCAGCTATATATTATATAGCAATTTTATGAATTAAGATTAACATGAACTTTGTGTCTAAGAACAGAAATACTGTTTGAATTAATGTTCAGTAATTAAAAGTTTGATTATTCAAAACTTAATTTTCCCACAACCCCAACCAGTGTTCTGCTTTTAGAAATCCTGCTTTGTCCTTCCCATGTTATTATACTCTGAATAAGAGAGTATAATCTTTACGCAGTACAAAATAATACTCGTTCTCTTGACGCTTAACATTTGCGCTAAATAAGAGTTAAGACGATTCCCGCTCTGTGAGTAGTAGTATTTGCCACTAACAGAATTGCCTGATATTTTCTCCTTGCGATGTAGTATGCACCTGAGGATATAATCGAATATGACTATGAGTATGGGGAAACAGAATACAAGGAGACTGGGAGTGTAACAGACAGACCCACTGTAGCTGAGGAGACAGTAGCACCGACAGAGGTAAAGACAAGCAGCGTCTGTGTGTGGCCTTCTGCCCTGCGCGCCCTGCAGCTCCTCTCCTTGGCTGCTCCTCACACCGCTGCGGACCTTCCGCTCATGTATTGTCTGTGAAATAATAACTCACTTCCATTTGACAGCAGCTGTCCTGAAGGAAAGCTGCCCCGTTTGCTTTTGTGTAGCTTTCCTGTTGTCTCTGCTTTTTATTTCTTCTCTCACTTTATTTGTTTTCCATTCCATCTTTCATCACATTTTACAGAAAAAGAAATCCAGTTACAAAAAGAAGAGGAAGACAGTGGCCACTAACTCAAAGGAACAGTCCAAAAAGTTTATACTCCCCATATCTGAAAAGTTTGCATCCAAGAAGAAGAAAAGTAATCAAGCAGCAGCAAAAGCCAAACTAGGGGTAAAGGTAGCAAAGAAAAGCAATCAAGATCTGTCCTAGATAAGCTGGAAGATCTCTGATGACGAGTCGTAGCGTTAAGCCCACTAAACAACAGCATTTGGCTAATCCTAGAACCCAATTCAGTCTTCATTTGCTCACATATTCAGGGTTATTTTACTTATTTGCTAATTATTTTTCTTTTGAATTTTTCAGGCAAATATTGTGGATGATTTTCAAGAATATAACTATGGAACAATGGAAAGTTACCAGACAGAAGCTCCCCAGAGGGTATCTGGATCAAATGAGGTAACACCCAGAAGCAGCGTTAATCACAGTCCCAACTCTTGGAGAGATGTAATACGTCTTGGTGTAATGCATTCTGGAAGAGCTCGTAAGCTTTGACATATTTGAAGGTTTTGTTCTCTTATTAAGGTTAGACGATAGTATTGGCTCACTCTTACTAAAACATTAAAACATTGACGTCGAAGTCAATCAGGTTTTCCTTGAGTCTCTGCTTTATGTAGTTGCTAAATTAGTCACACTGAATTTGCTATTTTTTTTGATTGCTTCTGAAAATTAGCAAGCTTTCAACATGTTGTGACAAAGGGGATTCACAACATGATTCTTCTATGAGAAGAATCCTCTGAAATAAAAATTGCATCAGCAACTGATACAATTAGTGTTTTATTTCATTTGACCAATAATCATGCATTTTAATAGCAGTATGTATATCCAGAAATAAGTCTTAGGTAGATTTTATTAGGTATTTATTTTTGAACTTGTTAAAATATAATATTATTTATGGTTAAAATAATATATCTTAACCATTCCAATATGTTTTATGAAAATATTGAAGTTCAGAGAGGTTCAAGTCAGTTCTGTAGAATTTTATATTGTATAAGTATTTTGATTATAAAAAGAAAAAACAATATGCAGTTCATCTTTTAACTATGTTATATATCTGGCATAGAATCCTTAGTACTCTTCAAAATATAAAAAACATGTAAGTTAGTTATTTAACATTTATATAAGGTGTGTCTCAGTCTAACAAGTAAAACCATTAGTGCTTTACCCGCAGACATGTAATTTAAAGTATTGAACATTTAGGCTGTCAATATTGTTTCATATATTCTCAATAATTTTTCAAAAGAGATCTTGGCTTAAGATGTTTATCTACACAAATTCATGTAGCTATTTAGCTTAGGGACACAAATATTTAATAATCTGTTCTGTGATAATATTCAAACTCTGTAGCAAGCATAGACTCCTTATCTAAAAGTAAAAAGGTATCATAATGATGAAATATTTTATTTTAATGGCAATTGCTAATTTAATCACTTACCTACATATTTTCATCCTGTGTCTCTAAAACAGCAGCATTGGTGTAAATTTTATTTTTAATATTTACTCTAATTTTTATTATAAAGTAATACTACTATCTTAAATTTTGAGGCCTATAATTGATGTTTTATTTACTTTTCAGCAACCTAATATAATGACTTTTCTAAGTATACATATTGTATATACTTCCTGGGCACGACCTGCCTGGGCACCCCTCCTGTCCGTCTCTTGGACAGGAGCTTTCTTGCCCCCAATAAATATGTTCTGCTCATAAAAAAGAAAATATTGTATATAATTCTTGCAAAGATGTGTTAATTTTTGGACATTAATATTTTACTTATGAATTGACTATCGAATTTACATGACTATCCTTGTAATTGAATTTAATAATGTTTTGTGAGATCAAAAAATTCTTTACATCTATTTTATTTTTCAAATTTAAAATGAATATCAAATTGACTAGCAAGGTTTTTACTGGAAGCAAATACACATGCTGACACCACGTGAGTATTTGCAGTTTATTGGGAAAAATGGTTTGAAAGCAATATAGCTTTGTACACATGAATGTACAAATGTATTTCTTTCAATGATAGTTACTAAAGACAACACTGCAGGCCTTCAGTCTTGCTTAAGTAGTAATAAAATCTCTTTTCATTCAGGCTACCAAGCTGTAATTACAAATCCTTACCTTGCTTTACTAACAAGTAAACTTTATGTTCTCCAATTCTCTGCAACTTACCTTAATAGCCAAATCCAGTTGAAGACGTTTTTACTGAAGAATATCTGACAGGCGAGGATTATGATCCCCAGAGGAAAAATTCCGAGGATATTCTATATGAAAATAAAGAAATAGACGGCAGGGACTCTGATCTTCTGGTAGATGGAGATTTAGGCGAATATGATTTTTATGACTATAAAGAATATGAAGATAAGCCAACCACCTCCCCTAATGAAGAGTTTGGTCCAGGTGTGCCTGCAGAAACTGATTTCACAGAAACAAGCGTAAGTCAGCGTTACACTCTGTGTCATTGTGTGTGTCGCTTTAGGGTGTGTTCATAATCACACGGACATCTTTTCCGGTTTAAAGTACAGGTCGAATTCTTGCATCAGTTCTAAGTGTTTACCACTCCTAGTCACCTCGATAGGTTCTGCCTGAGGGGAGCTCAGCCATTCAATCTCAGGCCAGCCTCCTGGAGTCTTCATCTGAAAGTATGTTCTGAATAGAATTGAAAGTCGTTATCTTTGATAAGATTAAAATAGTTAAATTCTGACTTTAAGTCTGATTTTTAAATCTAGACTGTTACTAAATTTAATTTGATATATTAATGTCTTGCAATAGTAACTGAGGCCACAGTTGTGCTTTTTATAGCATGTTTCAAAGCAGTAATGTGGAACTCACAGATTCAGTATGGATGTTCATTTGCACTGCTGCACCCTAAATAAGGTTCTATTTTTAAAAGCATATAATTTAATAGTTTATTTTAAATTCATATAAATCATTAAATTCCTTTTACAACAAAAAGTCACATGTTTTTACTTACTTTGAAGGCATTTTGACTGTTTTTACTTTTTTCAATTAACAGATAAATGGCCATGGTGTGTACGGAGAAAAAGGACAGAAAGGAGAGCCAGCTGTGGTCGAACCTGTGTGTACTGCTCTAAGTACATTTTAACATTTGGTGCATTTAATTTGTACTATAAACCACCATCACCTTAAATTTTTTGTACGTTGTATGTTAGCCTAAAGAATCCTGGTGTCCTACTGTTTATAACTTACTACAGGTGGCTAAATCAGTAATGTCCTTCCTGGCAACTGACGTGTCAGAGAACCAAAAATTATAAAGACTTTGGGAATTCAGATATGTTGAAATTTGTCTAGTCTAATTCTCTTATTATGGAATTGAGATCTAATGGGTATAAATAATTTTTTATGGTTTCCAATATTTGGTGTTGGAGACAAAACATTAGATCTTCTAACTTTTAAGTTTAGGACTTTCTCTTTTTATGTCTATAATGCCATTATTGAAAATATATTAAATTACATAATACTTGTTTATTTTCCAAACTGTATTACTCAGTAATATGAATATTTTTCTAAAATACTTTATTTTCTTCTGTGTTCAAATAAAGCTCTGAAGATGATTTAAATTTTTATAATATTATTACATGTGGTTTTGGTAAGAAACACTTTACTAGAAAGAAAGTTTGTCGTTGTTCCCCTTAAGCAGCAGTTTGGGAAAACTAGCACAGTGAGGCTAGATGCGGTATGCTGAACTCTCTGAGAGCTGTGACAACCCCTCCAGAAACTTACGGGCATGCACATTAAAAATGAAGAAAAACCGATTTGGAAGACACAACTTCACGGCTCTTACCGCCCTGTTGCTCTAATACTGCCAAGTCTGTGAAACCAGTTCACAGAGACATGGAAGATTTCTAGAAAAATGTTTTTTTAGAATGAATTTGGCCTCGTTATAAAAATATACTGATATATCTGTAAGTGGCATCGCAGTGCTCAGCTGTCAAAACCTGTAGCTGAATCAAACACATTTCTGGAGCTGAATTCTCATCTGAACTGTTCTCATACATTACGTGGCTTATCTCAGATTTTTTCCTTATTACTTTTGTCTGGACTTCTCCCTCTTTTTCATGAATTCAAGTGCTTAGGTGTCACTTCTTGTGTCCCCTCATTCACGTGGATTGTGTCTGCAAGGCCCTGCATCCTGTGGGGCATTGCTGTGAATGCCAGGAAAAACCTGGGCGCATGTCCCCTGCGTACCTTTCTGTAGAAAGCTTCGCTGTTGTGGTACCTGGTCATTTGCCTTATCCTCAGTTAGTTGCTAGATCCTCTGAGGTCAGGAACTTTTTTAAATCAATTTTAATTTTTTTCTTTCCTATCAAAATGTTTTTGATTGGTTTTACATAATAAAAATTAAAAACTTATATTTTAAAATGAAGTGATATAGTGCTCTCCTATAGTTTCTCATTGCGCAGGTTAAAAGTTACATACTACTAAAGGTTTTTTTTTTTTCATTTTCGTTATAGGGATGCTTGTTGAAGGACCACCAGGGCCAGCAGGACCTGCAGTATGTAAATGATTAATATCATTTTGATTTAGAGTCTTAAGTTATTGAAACTAAGATTTTTGTTTGGTTTGATTCATACATTTGAGATATTTAATGTGAATTTTAAATGTAAATATTTGTTCAGAGGAGCTGGTGGACTTGAATTGCTTCTGATACAGCTATTCAAATATTTTGTTGAACGGTTGGGTTAAACTTTGAATATTGTTTTGGTTAAATATGTCTGCACCTTATGACCAATATTTATTTTTCTACCTAAAAATTGTCCAAGGATTCCAAGAGGCAGTCTTCTTTCCTGGGGGTAGAAGTGTACCTCGGGGCACAGGGGCATATGCGGGGGACCTTGGCATTCCTATCTGTACTGGAATGCGGAGTAGTTATCAGACGATCAGATTTTATTGTTCTTCCCAATAGAGCTGATGCCCTTCAGTGTGCTATGCTTTTCAGTTTTTTGAAATGATTAGATCTTGTAAAGAACCTTCTATTTTTGTGGAATTCACTAAATTCTTATCATTTGAAAATAATTATATGATACTTTCAAATACTTATAAAAGAGAATATTAAAAGTGCTTTCAAGTGAAGTAACTTCTGTTTTCAAGTTTCCTACCATCACATTCTGGAGTCTCCCCTTAGTGTGCCGTTCTGTGGGGAGAGCTGGGGCCCGGCCTCCGCCTCGGGACTTGGCACTGGCATGCTCTCCTTTGCTTTTCTCCGGCACGCTGGCCTCCAGCCACAAGCGGAGCAGCCGCACAGAGGAGCAGTTTCACTACCTGTAAAGTCCTTCCTACGTGTTGTGCTTTCATAGGAAGCTGCGTAGTGCAGTTGTTCAGAGATAAGCGTGCATTTATGAAATACACATGAGTTGTTCTTTGATTTTAGAAGGATGGCACTAAATTGTCCAAACACTAATGAAATTAAAGTTTTGATTCACATCATTTCTTTCTCTGTAGGGTCTTATGGGTCCTCCAGGTTTACAGGGCCCCTCTGGACCCCCTGGTGACCCTGGTGATAGGGTAAGTGAAGTGTCATAGTGTTATGAAAGCATGTAACACAGGTTAAAATAATTCAAATGCATTTTACAATTTGAACCTGTCATCATTTACTGGGTGAGACTGGGGTGCAAGTCTGTGAATTGAGTGTATGCAACATCTACCTTTTACAGGTATATTTTCTAGACATTCCCATAGGTACTTAGCTGAACACTGTTAGAATGATTAATGACCCCGCATTCTACTGACAAGACCAAAGTCTGGTTGTATGCTGCAATAGGTCATATGTTAAGCCTGTAGAAACTTTCTTTGTAAAGTGTCCATTTTTTCTTGTACTTATATAGACAAAAATGAATATTTTCCCCTTTTAAAAATAGGAGGGAAAAGGAAAAAAAAAGGCAAGTGAGTTATGTTTTTATTGTCTCATAATTCATTGAAGAGGAAGGTTTGTGTTAATTTCTACTGGAAAAATTTTTATGCCCATGTCTTGTATCCTGAGCAACTACTTTAAAGTTCACAACATGTAATGTATTAACTGTTGTGTTCTCCTATTATTTTGTTAAGAAATTTTATTTTACCTATCGCCATAAAATAAATCTGTACAGAGAAGAAAAAGGTCAATTTAATAAATAGTTATGCCATACTTTAGATGCCTTATGTAATTATAATTATATGCATAAAACAATATAGTTTATACTGTGATTTTTTTATGAAGAAGATTGTTTAGTGAAAGGGTAAAATACACTATTTACTGAGAATATAATGTTGTAATGAAGTATGTATTGATTCAAGTGTCATAAAAAGTGATTCAGAAATTTAATTCCACTTTTTATATTTTGAAATTTAAATAAGGCAAAATATTTTATTTTAGATTTAAATTGTGAAGATATAAAAATATTACAGCAGTTCTGAGGGCTTTTAAAGTTTGGAGGACTTAAGGGGCATATTAGGCAGTTACTCATTTTCTTACGTAGTTTGCTCAGTCTTTTTTGGTTTTGGTTTTGAGACAGTCTCCCTGTGTAGTTCAAGCTGGCCTTAGTTCACTGTGTAGCTTGGGCTGGCCTCAAACTTATGGTTATCCTCCTGCATCAGCCTTCTGTGTGCTGGGCCTGCAGGCATTTTCCACCATGCCTGGCTGCTGAATCTTTTATATCTAGTGTGATGAATATACTCATATTTTTATCTGTCATTTTAGTAAATATTCTTTTTATTTTAAAATTCTAATCTTTCTAAAGGTTCTTGGGTTGTGTAATTTGTTGATCACAGTACCATATTTATTGTTATGTAGTTCTGTCTACCTAAATTATAAATGTGCGCACATAGGTGGACATATACAAATGGTCATCTTATGTCAATCAGAATTCAGACCAAATTAGTGATTTTTTTTTTTTTTTTTTTTTCCTGTACTGGGGATTGAATTCAGGGCCTTGCGCTTGTCAGGCAAGCACTTATTCTACTGAGCTATCTCCCTGGCCCCCAAATTAGTGATTATGACTAAATTTATCATGTTTAATTCCACATGTTGAGCTTAGTAATCATCTCTGTTAATACATTATAAAGTATCATCTGTTTAATAATTAAGTTCTTTAAGTCTCTAATAGAGAATGTATCAACCAATATTAAATTCATCAACTTAAAATTGTAAACGGATCTCTTCTCGTTATTCAAGCCCTGTGTTTCCTTGTATGAAGCAAACGTGACTCGCTTTCCTCGCGCTGCCTCAGCCCTGAGCACACAGGAACTCTGTATTGACTGCAGCTGGTAGCTGCAGTTCAACTGAGTAGAATGCACACCTTCACTGGCACAGCTTAACCAGGCATTATTAAGATGCCCCAAAACTAGTGCACAGAAATGCAACCCATTCTAGGTGATACTTACCAAAAAGGGGTTCGCCACTCAGAGAGAGCAATAGCAAAGTCTTAGTCTGAGTTACTGCACTTCCACTAAATTGTGTTACTCACTTATTTTGATTGTTTGATTTACTTTCCTAGGGCCCTCCAGGACGTCCTGGTTTGCCAGGGGCTGATGGTCTGCCTGGTCCACCTGGTACCATGTTAATGTTACCGGTAGGTTTTTTTTTTTTTTTTTTTTCTAAGTAAAGATAACTTAATATTTTGTCATCATGTTTCTGGAAAATACTGTTTATAGAGCCCCATTCTATGAGTAGAGACACATGCATTCAGACAGCTTTTGGAAATCAAGGGGAACTTACGAAACAAAATCTGGGAAAATTCAGTCTCTACACAAGGCTTTGTATTATTTGATAACACACTTGTCCATGAAGGTTTTTTATCAGTATTACTAGTTGTGTGTTTGTCTTGGTTGTATCATTAACGTACGTTTTCTATGCTGTTTAACATATTAGTATACTATTTGCCAAAATGTAGACTATGGTTGAAAAGGGTTTTTTTTTTTTTCCCTTTGAGTTAGTGTTTCACTGTGCAGCATAGGTCAGCCTTGTGCTCACAGTGTAGCTCTGGTTGGCCTAGAACTCGCAGTGATCCTCCTGCCTCAGCCTCTCCAATGCTGGGATTACAGGTGTGTGCTACCACACCCAGCCTGAAACCTCTTTAAAGAAGAGATATCTATAGTGTCGTTATACATTTCTCAAAATAATTTTCTTTGTTGTAAGATACTTTGTCTCAGTTACTCTTCTCTCATTACTGGGACAGATACCCGACAGTCAAAATGAAGGAAGGAAAGGTTTATTTAGCTCACAGTTAGTAGGGGTTTCAGTCCACACTCAGCTGGCTCCAAGACAGAGCGGCATGGGGCAGAGAGCAGCCGTTCATGGCGGCGGCACAGAGCAGGGACAAAGGGAGGGGCCTCAGCCCAGGCAGCAGCCGGCCTCTCGCGTTGTCTACATTGCAGTATCGGGGCGGGTGCAGCACCCATGCCCACAGCAGTCAGTCACAAGCTCCAGAAGCGCCCCAGGGCTGCAGGGGGCTGTGGGGGGGCGGGGGGGGCAGCTAGGCACAACGCATGACAGTATCTTTAAAATTTCTGTTGCCATAGTGTTAGGGCAACAAAAAAACTTAAGTTATGGTTACAATGTAGTAAAATTTTAAGAAATAATTTCTTAAACTGAAACGTTGGCTCACATGGCATTTTGAATTAAACTTTCAAATTGTATGGTAGAATAATAAAGTAGATTGATTTTCCAGTCTAATTGTTCAAGAACGGGCAAACAAAATAAATACTGCTTAGGGAAATTTTCTCTGTTCATGGAGATTTCAAAATTTTCGGCCAACAAAGTAAAGTCTATAACCACCACTGAAGTTGGTATATTTTGAATTTTTACAAATGAAAAAATAAAATGGGTAACACTTACATAGATAAAAAGAGACTTATCTAGAGATTTATTCTAGCGAATATAGACTATAAGGTGAAAAGAGTTTTCTACTCTTTGTACAAACAGAAATTGAGAATTTAAAAGAAGAAATCTAGGTTGTAAGACTCATTTTGAGTTACTTTGGCATTTGGCATTTTGTAAAATGCCACTATTTTAGACAACTAGTTCTTATGTAGTAATTAAGGAACTTTATGAAATGTATTTGACAGCGGGTAGTACTGATCCTCCGTATGTGGTCTCTTCCAGTTCCGTTACGGCGGGGATGGTTCTAAAGGGCCGACTGTCTCTGCTCAGGAAGCGCAGGCTCAGGCCATACTGCAGCAGGCGCGGGTAAGAGAGAAGCGAGCTTTACCCTGGCCTGTGCGCACGCGCGCACGTGTGCGTGTGTGTGTGTGTGTGTGTGTGAGAGAGAGAGAGAGAGAGAGAGAGAGAGAGAGAGAGAGAACTGTATATGGAGACTAGATAGAACAAGTGATAAAACTATACTTAATTTTGCAGTACTAATAGTTAAGTGACTATTAAGTAACTGACCCTAGAAGTAATACCACATATAATTTAGACAGTTTCTCACTTATAGAACCCCGCATACATTTGTATACTTTTTTTTTTTTTTGAGTGTTGATAAACTTGTCAATTACTGACTGTTGGATATAATTAAGAGAATAAAGTTTGAACGGAATATGTTCCACTTAATTATCTTATTTAAAAATACCCTAAATAATATAGAAAGTTAAGGGGGTTTTTTTGGTACTAGGGATCGAACTCATGACCTTGCACTTGCCAGGCAGGTGTTTATGCTGCTGAGCTATCTCCCCAAGCTTAGACAGTTAAGATTCTTGAATGTTATTGTGTGAAAAGGACCTGTGAGTCTATTTTTAGTTAAAATCTTTATCTAAAATGTTTTACAAAATCCATTCAGAGGGTTGGGGAGATGGCTCAGTGGAATAAGCGCTTCCCTGGCTAGCGCAAGGGCCTGAGTTCAATCCCCAGTTCTGCCAAAAAAAAAAAAAAAAAAAAACAAAAAAAATTAAAAAACAAAATCCATTCAGTATTGTTACACCTTCAGTTTAAAATCTCTTGTCAGTTGTAAGAATCAACAATAATTAGATTGACAAAATAACCTCATTTATACTTTTGTCTATCTTTATTGCAATTAAAATTACATGAAACAGTAAAAAAAGAGCCAGAAAAGAATCAGAAAGCATGCATTTTTTTTTTTCACAGTGCTTTTTAACTAAGAAAGGAATAAAGGTGTTAATGGTTGGTATGGGTGTGGTTATCAGCTTACTAGCCAAAATACATTCATTCTGTCATTCACCATGATCAATATTTATGTGTGCGTATGTGTCAGGTATCTGCGAACATAAGTGAAAGCTGTAATTGACTTTCAGTATTCATGATACTTAAATCTACTAATCTGAAAAAAATATTACTGGTTGGATCATATTTGAAGTCCATAAAAATGTAAAGACTTGGTTATTAGGGCATGGTGTAAGTTAGAAAACTTTAATATTCTGTGATTCCTATGATTTAGCTTGTAAATTGTATCATTTTGAAAAACGTAAGATTTTTTGAATTTAGTAATATTATTAAATGATAATATTGGATATTAATATTTCAAGGCCCTTGACTATTTCAAGGCCCATTAATTCCTCATTTTTTTTGTCTTAGCCTGCTTGAAAAATTGGTAGCAAGCATTATAATTCCAATTTTTCAGATATTTAATCTCAAGGATTAAGAAGTATATTGTCAAAAATCCAGTGGTGAGTTAGAAGTACAATTTTGGAGATCTTGTTGTTTTCATTCTGTGCACTATTCTAATATAGTTTTGCATTTATTTCCATCACAGTTTTATTTTGATATTTTGGGATAGACTTAAACATTAATCTTTTGGACTCACTAATATTCAAAAATATCACAACATACTAATTTAGCATCTGTCAGAGTTTTAACTGTTGTATCCCGTACATTACAGCTTTTGAGTACGCTAATTACATACATCTAATATTCAGTGTAACAATACTGCATGCAGTCAGTCCACTATTCATGATTATGTAAATGTACTATCATGAAGTATTACATTTGAGATTTAGTGGGAAACGTAGATTATCATAGTGTTTTCTGTCTATTTTCTGCTTTGTGCAGCCAGATTATTGTTTTTTCCTAAAATACTATTAGAAAAATTTTATTTAAAGTATCTCAAATTGTTACCTTTTAAGAGTTTTTTCATTGAGAATTATGTCTTCAACATTTAAGAGCCAAAAACAATACATTCTTGTGAAGTATATATCAGAATAAAAAATTATCCAGTGTTATATATTTTAAAGCTGTTTTAAGTTCTGTTATTGATTAAATCATAACCATATGTGGTTAAAAATGTTTTCTAATCACTTAGGCTTTCTGTCAGGGCAGCAGCTTGCTTGCCTCAGAGCCTGGCCTGCCTCTGGTGTGTGGCTGTTGTGCTGTGTGGGTCACGCGCTGTGCACGGTGCCGCACGCCGGTGACCACTGCATGTCAGGGTGCTCTTTGAGAAGAGTGTTCCTGACCTGGATATGTTTTTCATTTTCTAGATTGCTTTGAGAGGCCCACCTGGCCCAACAGGCCTGACTGGAAGACCAGGTCCTGTGGTAGGTTGTTTTATGCCATAATATATGTCAATTTCATCTTACTAGTAGTTCCCAGCAGATATTCTGCCAAGTATTATTTGTATCTATGGTTGATGAAAATATTGTACATATCACTGTGCATGCTTGATACTGCTCCTTTAATAAAATCATCTTCAATTCAGTTTTTTTCTTTTTATTATCATCTATCTATCTATTTATTTGGTACAGAGTCTCACTTTAGAGCTCGGACTCATAGTGATCCTCCTGTCTCAGCCTTCCCAATGCTGGGATTACAGTTGTGCACCACTGTGATTGGTTACGGTGCCTGGGGCTCCGGGGGTGGCAGTACGGGGCACTGAATTCAGGTCTTTGTGCTGGCCAGGCCAGGCATTTCGACTGCCGAGCTATCTCCCCAGCCCTCGGTTCAGTTTTAAATACATTTTGGTAAAAAGATTTTTGTTGAAGTTCTTCACATCAAGTATATAAAATAAAAATATAGTTCAGTCCCGTAGACAACTATCGATTTCCCAAACTATGCAGTTTATTTGACTCAGATTCAGGTAATAATATGCAAATTTTCCTTAAATCTTTAGATTTCATTTTATATTATGTATAATTTTCATTTAGAAAGACATTTAATTTAAGAAATCTGTGGGGCCAGCCAGGTAGCACAGCCGACTAAAGCGCCTGCTTGGGCGCGAGCAGGGCCTGAGATTCGACCCCAGGCCTGCCATGCTGGCCCCACCCCGGGGCACACAGAAACAGTGACTGAGACTGGGCCTGATGGTGCGCGCCTGGAATCCCAGCCGTTGGGAGGCTGAAAAACAGAGGATCACTATGAGTCCGGTCTGCATAGTGAGACCCTGTGGACCCGTACTAAATGCATTAAATGAAAGAAAGAAATCTGAAAATTATTACAAAGTCCTAGTAGCAAGCAGGCTCAGTGATTTAAATTGAAGGTGGCCTCGATATCCCATAAGTTGCTTTAGATAACTGAGAAATTATTTTCTGTTTTAGAGACTCTTAGAAAGTGACAATATGGTTTCTTTTTCCTTAAAAGCATGGCAGCAAGCTATTTCAAATATTTTTTTCTAAAATATTTTCAGATATTTTGAAGTGCACTAAAGCAGTAGAGCTATTCAGAAACAACACAATAATACTTTTCAGATCAAGTTCTTTCAAGAAAGAACCAGTGTTCTCACTGATTTTAGAACTCATGAGAGAAATATCTACCTTAAGAATTTGTTTTCATTATAAAAATTATTTTTTCTGTGCTTTAGTATGATCTCATATGGTTCCAATATGCTTTCTTGAAGTGAAGCTTTTATAGAATAGATTAGTCTGAAAGTAAAAAATCTTAATCTGTGTTTTCAAATGACATGTAATTACAAACGTTTGTTAAAATTTGAATCAGCCTTCTAATTACTGAATCTTTTTTGATCCTATTGTGATTTAAGTTTCCTCATGTTTTACATAAGAACATAAATTTATATTTTCCCTCAATTGAATCTTGAAATGTTATTAATTCTTTATGTATTTTGCAGTGTCATTCATTGAGGCACTTATATGTAATGTATGTTTTCATAATATGTTCAAAATAATTCAAATTCTACAAATTTCTGAACCAGTCATCAAATTTCTTTTGCATATATCTTACTTTTCTGCTTTTCAAAATGCATTAAGGAATATGGAAGAGTTTATGCAACTTAACACTGTAAGAAATTAATTAATTTTCCAGTGACTCAAATTTATAAACTTGAGGAAAATATGTTACTGTTTCCCAAAATTGGTGCGGAAGATTACCTGCGTATTTTATTAAATATAAAAACTCCTAGGGACCTGAACGTGGGACACTAGTGCTGCAGTTTTAGAATTGGGAACTGCTGAATTATTTTTTTGATGAGTCCCAAGTTTATTTTTATTAGCACACTTTTTTTGAAAGTTCTGTCTTACACTCTGATTTATAGTTTAGGACTCTAACACAGCATTATCGAACCAAATTTCACCACTTAGCCATCTGGACAAATGCAAGTAGAGGGTAAGGCGGTGGAGAGTGAACCAGTAGGTATCTGTGACATCGCCAGTTCTTGCCCAGTCAGTGGGGTTCAGCCATTTCTACAACTGTGTTGGCAAAGTGGAAACATAGACGGCATGTGGGTCTTCTCAGTGTCACAGCAAAGCTGTATTCATTTTATCTGCTTGTGTGTCACGGAAAATTCAGCATACTTAAAAATTAAATAACAAAGATGAAAATTTTAGAATACATGTTGTTTCTTTTCACTGTGTTCTATTATGCTTTGTACCAAAGTACTAAGCCTTTTCAAATGTCTAGTAATTCTATTTTTTAATTAATTATTATTTACTCTATTATTTGGTATACGGTCTTGCCACACAGCTTGGACTCATAGTGAAATATCTACTGAGTCTATAGTCAAAAATAATTCATGCATTTAAGTTTAGGAAACAAAATGTACATCAGACTTTAACGTAAATATGGACAGTTTTCAATAAAAAACCTGATTTTTAGAAATGTATTCAATTTTATGCACAAATGGATAGCTATACTGTACAATATACAAGAAATAGTGAAAACGTTTGTCTATGCTACTGTCAATTTTTACATGGAAATTTTTAGAATAAGTGCCTTGACAGATAATTACAGTCTGTGGACGACTTACTGTGTTTTTACAAAAGATAATATCAATTAATTAAAACCAAATTGACTTCTAAAATTGTGTCCACACAGTAATTCATAGTTTGATTTAATATAGATCCACAGTTTTTCTTTTGTGAAAATTAATTGCAAACATTCTTCTTTCGATGCTTGAAAATCATTATCTTCAAGATCTGAAAAGGCATGCAGCTGAATTTTCCTTTCTGCCATGCCAGTAGCAGTCTTACTTTGGAGCCACCAGGAGGCTCTGGAGAACTGGCATTTTCTACCTTAGTATAATTTTAATCATTGTTCTTTTGTCAACACTCCATTCAACACAATATATATTGATTTAAATATATCAGGGACTCCTTAAACACACAGTATACACATTCAGCATAATTTAACTATAATTGCTGTATTCATTTTTAATGTATTGAAGGTTGAGTGATTATGACTGCCCCAGTACATAAGTTTAAAGCTCACGTTACCTTTATTATGCAATTTAATACTTTTTTCCTGTTTAGTGTGTGAGCTTTTATTGCATTTTTTGAAATACATATATATTTGTGTGT